TCCCCCCCGTTTCCCAGGAGACCAAAGAAAAAAGTAAAGAGGAGTCCCTCATCCCCCATTTCCTAGGAGACGAAGTTCTGAGCAATTAACCAGAAAGCCACTTCTTTTTGTGTCCCTTAAGTGCTCACTTAATAGTTCTGCACACAGTGGGCAGGGGTAAGGGAAAAATTCCTTCTTGGTTTCTAAGAACCAGCAAAACCGTGACAAATAGTTAGGGTTGGAAGGGACCTCTGGAGATCATCTAGTCCAAGGCAGGGTCACCTAAAGCAGGTTACACAGGAACGTGCCCCAGTGGGTTTTGAATGTCTCCAGACAGGGAGACTCCACAATCTCCCGGGGCAGCCTTTTTCAGTGCTCTACTACCTTCAATGTAAAGAAATTCTTACTCATGTTGAGGTAGAACTTCTTGAGTTTAGTTTATGGCCATTGTTCCTTATCCTGTCACTGGGCATGGATGAAAAGAGTCTGGCACCATCCTCTGGACACCTACCTTTGAAATATGTACATGCATTGATGAGATCCCTCCAAGTCTTCTCTTCCCTAGGCTAAACAGGCCCAGCTTCCCCAGTATCTCCTCTAACAGAGATTCTCCAGATCCGTAATCATCTTTGTGGCACTCCACTGGACCCTCTCCAGTAGCTCCTTGTCTTGCTTGAACTGTGGAGACCAGAACAGAACACAGTGTTGTGGCCACACTAGGGCAGAGTAGAAAGGGAGCTCTTGTTGGCCACTCTCTTCCTTATACACCCCAGGGTACCAGTGGCCCTCCTGGCCACAAAGGCACACTGCCAGCTCATTTAGTGCTCAGGTACATTTCAAATTTTTAGTTTTATTGTTCAGGTAACATTGTTACCTCTGTAGAAGTTACCTCCCCGTTTTACACCCTCCTTCCAGATCACAGCTGTGAATATTTTGAATAGTGCAGGCTTTTGTACAAATCTCTATAGGACTTCATTAATAAGTTGCCTTCTGCTTTTAAAATTATCCTGAAATTTGCTATTTGTTTTTGACTCCATGGTTGTTATTTTGGCAGCACACTGCTCAGAAGCTGCCAGTTGTGGCATAATGATGGGTTCACTGAGAGAAAACAGAAGGAATAATGTTAACAAATTTTTGTAGTTCTTAGTTTTGTCTCAATGAATTCCTGCTATTTTAGAAAACAATCCTGCTACAGAAACCTTGTGGTCATCCACAGTGTGAAATCTGGCTTTTTTTTGCCCCAACTGCCACAGAAATTAGAATTTGTCCCATAGAATTTGCTCTTTTGCGTAAACAAGTAGACATATATAGATATTTCTTTCCTTCCCTGCCCTGTCAGGATCTCTCATCCTCTGCTGTCTGGATAGGGGGAAACCTTCCCCATCCTTGAGTCCAGGCAGCTGGAGCTTGACTGGGCTGAGGACAGGTGGCAGGATATCAGGTCTGGGTGGGGAAGGAAGGCAGAGAGGTGGGAAGTGATGGAGAAAGCCTGTCCTTTAAAATTATCACTGTCTAAAATAGCCATATACTAATCTTATTTTCATGAGTATTTTTGCCTATGAACAAGTGTTGTGGTGCCCATATGCTGGTGTAAGAGAGGGAAAACCCTCCCATTTAAATCGGAAGATATTTTGTAACTGATGTCAGCAGGGACATGATCTCTCTCAAGGAGTATTTCATGACAGTAAAATAAATTGTGCTTGCTGCAGTATTTAGAGAAAAAAATCAATGGAACTGAGTACCATCATGTTAACAGTTACAAGTTCTGATTTTAAGAATTGAAATTTGTGTTCAGTTAACATACTTTGGCTCCAAAAGAATCTTAATGTATTTAGAGGTATATTATATTTTCCCAGTTATGACTCATGAAAGAACATGGCTTTTCATCATCTAAATGATGTGCTAGGAGATTGGAATAATACTTAAAAAATATGCAGTGATAGAAAGAGAGAACGATAAAAAAAAATTATTATCAAGACTTACTAAACTCTGACTGAAAATACTTCCAAATTTGGGGAACTTTTTTTGTTTTTGGATAGATGCAATTTGGATCCAGCTCTTTGTAATACTATTTGCCATTATAAATGAGAGATTTGTCACTACATTTTATGCTCAGCAAATAACGAATATATTTTATTCTCAACAAATAGCTAACTAACATCAGAGCGTGTTTCTGATCTTACTGCAGTTTCTGAGAATCAGTAAAATCAGTGCAATCAGTAGATGGACACAGATTTACGTTAAGTGAGATCAGAAGCCTAATCTCTGTTGAAACTCATCAATGTTCACTGCAATATAAGTATAATTCTGCTTGAAGTCTGCTTGACTTTACATTTGCTCTGCCATTCCACTGGAAAACAAATTCTCCTATATTTAAAATAATTTGAAACACTAACTGTGACATTTGGGGATAATTGCTGTCTGACAACCCTGGAGACAACATACAAATCTTTTGACCAAGAAAGAAATAAAATTAGGAATGATACCAAAATCTAGACTTTCATCCAAATGTAGTGGGAACTGCAAGCCTCATCCACAGAAAGAATTACTATGGCAAGGGAACATAGAGCTAAGGTGGAAGTTTGTCTGGTTGCATGTAGAGGCCATCTCTATTTGTGCTCCAAGAACACTCCATAAGGATTTGTTGAATTTTTTAGGCTACCCTGGGACAGCATGGATGTTCACAAATTGGCTGCAGTGCCATTACAGTGAGGTTCACCTAGAAACAGGATTGTGTTGAGGAGAGGAGAATCTGCTCTCGTGAATTCCCAGATTTCTTTGAGTGAACTCTCCTAGAAAGAAGTTGTTTGGTCTTTATATGAAATGGCACCTGACAGCTTGGAAAGAAAATCTGTTTTTCTTCCCATGCCAAAATTCATAAAATTTTGGACAGAAAAGTACATTTTTATGATGAAGCTAAAAATTTATTGGATAATAAATAATTTGTTAAATTCCAGTGATGTGTGGGAACCTGACAAGGATTATAGTTTTGCCGTCAGTTAAATTACCCTATACCTGAGGATGCTGGTTTAATTATTTGTTGCTGTTTTTTTTCAAAAAGGCACTTAAGTCTGTGCAAGTTTGGCCCTGATGTCAACACGATCAGTCATAGGTTCAAGCTGCCTTAACTTTTATGGTGATTAATAAAGAGTGGGTCTTTCAGAAATGCCATCACTCACCACCACATAGTTAATCTTGAGTCGTTAGAGCCAAACACAATGTAATAACAAATTCACATAAGTGTAGTATGTGCCTACCCTGGAGTATGCTAAACTACAAGAAAAGCAATAATCCCTACTCTATAGGTAAGGAGAAAGAAGGTTGAAATGTAAAAAACAGACTTCTGTTATTGTAAACTGGACAAAGAACGTGGCTGTAAGAAGATGAAGTCACATGAAAAGACTAGAGGCACAATTATAGAAGACTACATGGGACAGAAGTTACTTCCCAGGAGACAGAAAATAAATAAGAAATAATGTCTTCCCTGCTGCTCCTCCCCTCTCCAGATGTTCATGGAAGAGCAGTGTAGGGTTGAGAGCACCAACCCTTGCCCCTTTGTGAGATCACTCTCGCAGGCAGAGGCCTCACTTTAACTGTGCAAATGGGACTTTTGTTCCTCCAGTCCCAAGGCCTGTTCTTGAGACCCCAGTGTATGCACATATGTCACAAATACTTCTCAGAGGAAGAACGAACTTGTTTAGTACCCCCTAAAAATCCTACTCAAAATTACAAGCCAGCGACATTGAACTCCTTTGAGCTCAGACAGACAACAAATATCAGGAGAGGACTTAATTTAGCCCTCCTAAATTGATGCCAACAGAAGCCTGAACTGAGGAACCTTCTTCTCTGCCACATTTAGCAGCTCCTTCTGAGCCACACATTGGTTTCTGTGGTTTTGCTGGATTGCACCTTCTGAAAGTCTAACTGCAGCCATCTCACTGCAACCCTTTTCATCCCAGAGACCAAGCTTTATATCCACAAGAGAAGCTGAGTCCACCTCATTTATTTGGTATTTCCCTCCGATCCAACTGCATTCTCAGCAGATAGCTGAGCTGATACAGGTTCTCCAGCTCAAGCTACACAGAAGAACAGGAGTACGGAATCAGATATTTGAGGAGCGGAATGTGAAGTCAGATGGGCAAGCACACTTCCAAATACTAGCGAGGGGATGACATTCGTACATAGCCTGGACAGTTCATTACTCAATTATTAACTTTCTCCAGACTCTCAGCAGACAGCAGTAGAGAGTCTATTGCAGCAGAAATTACTGCATTTGCTATATCCAACACTTAAAAAAAATAAATCTGGAAATTGAAGCTATTATTAACTATAATATTAATAATCTAGAGAAGATGAAACCTTAAAAATGTGATGCATAAGCATAACCTGGAAAGCATAGTTTTCTATACATACATGAGTTTTGACTGTGGTAACTATCAGACCCTTCTGGCTGTTTAGTCTATTTTCCTTGGTCTTTTCATACATACAGACTTGAGTTTCTCTCTCTCTTTTTATACTCATGTGAAAAAATATATGTAAATGTCTTTGTGTGTTCAAACATATGTAACAGTCTATGGAAAGGGAGTGCTTTACCAAAGACAAGAGTAGTCTGCTTTGTAATGCCTGTGTGTATATAATCTGTTTTATTCACAAGAGCTAACCGGGACCTCACCAGAGAGACTTCTTCTGAGACTACTTGATGGGTAAATCAGCGAGAAATGAAAGCTCCTTCCTTATAGGACAGGGATCTCCTTGTTCTCAAAGCTCACACCAGGGCCACCAGCTTCTTCAAACCTCCTGGTACGTATTCATTCCTCTGCCTGTCTGAACCCCACCATTCAGAGAACGGCACTGCAGAATTCACATTTTCTTAATCTCCCTGCTCTAACACTGGTGAAAGCAGCAGCCTTTTATTTGCTCTTTTGGCTTCTTTATATTCAGCTGGCAGCAGGGATCTGCCCTCAGAGCCCACCAGGACACACGTCTGTCCAGCCTCCACCTCCTTCCCTTGGCAAGATTAAAACCGCCCCGGCAGCCTGGACCTCCCTCTCTGCTGGGTCCTGAGAGGGACACGAGGAGCTTCTGCACCCACTGCTGCACTCTTCTGTGGGACTAATGAGAGGGAAGCAGGGAGTGTGATGATATACACCGTGTATTCACATGAGAGAAGTGAACAAAGCCAGCAGTGAAGATGAAAAGACACTGGTAAGAGAACAAGTGGGATTCAGGGACATCTGTAAATAAGAGATTAGAACAGTTAAAGCTGTCCTTGCCAGCTGCTGCAGTTGTTGTTTGGTTTTATGAAAGCATTATATGAAGGAGCTATCAAAAGAAAGAACTTTATTGACGTGTTTTATTATAAGGCAAAAATAAAAAGTTCTCATGTAAAGAAATATTCTTTTAGAAGAAATTGTCTTGTCAAATCTGTTAGTAAATCCTTAACTTGTTTTTTTATACATTTATTGTGCATGGCTTGGAGGAGAAATTTAATAACAGAATCTGTCAGAAACTATAGATTCATACTTGAGTTTTCTTTCTGTTTACAGGAAAATTACAGCTTTCTTTTACGTGTGTAGTTTTTTGTGGTCTTTCGTCTCAGCAACCATCCAGCACCAATCAAGTAAGGAGACAGAATTTATCTGCATTTCATCTTTCTGTAATTTTGAATGTCAAAAGAGTTCTTCTGTGTTTATGCAAAATTAAAATCCTCTCTAGCTAGCCATCACACAAAGGGAGAACTGTCAATGTGTATGTATGTATGTATAGATGGCAGGATGCACATGAAAAAGACAGGGAAAAGCAAAAGCTCTGTGTGTCATTTTAAACTTGCTATAAGACGTATTTTTAAGGTAAGGATTAAAATCTGGATATAAGTGGTAGATACAGGACACAAACCTTCCCCTATCTTTCAGTGCTTCTAGTTAGATATTCTTCTGCTCCATATATCAATAAACTGCTTATACTTTATTTGTTGAGTATAAAATGTAAATGGCTGGATGTCAGCCATATGTCTCATCAAATAATATAGAATGAGGTCTGTTCTATGGTGTAACGTGTCAACCTGAATGTTCTCTTTAAGCCTATGTTGTCAGAAGGAAACCCACATTTAGGGTTGAGCCTTTGCAGCACACAAGAGGCTCTCTGTAGGTTAGAAATGCTTCTCCTTCCAGCTTCCACTCTTCATTCTTCCCTCTCCACTTTACTAACATTTTCCAGATTGACTTGATACTGGACTTGTAGATGGCTCTTAAAATCTTCAAATAAATGTTTATTTTTCCTTCCTCCTTCCTTAAATTAGGGGAATCCAGCAGGTTCTCGTGCTCATTACAAGGCTTTTTGACAAATAATATTCTGAAAAATTCAGTGTTTAAATTTAGTTTCCTCAAACAAATTTCTTCTATGTTCTTTTCTGAGTAAACAAAAAGGGTCTGTAAAGTTCTTCTTGCCCCCACCCTGTATTTCACGAGTGATTATTTTCTGATCAAATGTGGCACAGAGAAAGGTGGGAACACCTGGAATATCAGAGAGGCTGGAAAAGTTGCCAACTGTTTCTCAACAACATCTGTAGTTGGCATAAGGTTTGTTTAAGTTTCCTTGGGACTAGAAGACTGTTGATTTAGGTAACTGGCTTTTTTTTTTTGCTTAAACCACCAAAAGTTCCAAGCCAAAAACTCCTTACACAGCAGGACTTCTTATGTTACTACTACTATTTCTCCACAGCTCTGCAAGAGACGACTTATTATAACACTCTCACTTAAAGGCTTTAAAAAAAAAATCAAAAAATCAGTCAAGTTACCATTTTAAATTTGGTGCTCCCTAAAAAGAGATGCTTATTTTCTTAGACCTCTCACTTTACTGAGTACAGTTTAAATTATTATTAAATTATTATTATGATATACTTGTAATCGTTATTATTTAGATATTTATTTAATTCATAATAATCTTACAGTTGCTTCACTTAATTTTCTAAGGTGATCTGAGGAAATGTGCAGGCACATGGTTAATAGATTCACCTTGTTTTGCAGGACTACCAGTCATTCTGGGTGCCAGTCACAGAATTGAGCTCTGCCCAACAATCAGGATTGGTCAAGATGACTTACCAGGCAAGTAGCATCCTGACTTTTTCAGGAAAAAGCTGCTGTTCAGAAAACTTTATCAGGTTATATTCAGCTCTGTGACTGCACAATTCCCTAATTAAATTAAAATGAAAGCTACATTTTGGATATGCATATTTTTTCTTGTAGGCTTTGACCTGATTTCTCAGTTCCAAATAGAAAAAGCTGCTTCCCAAGGAGTTATTGAGAGAGTAGTGGGCTCCACTTCTCTACAAGTGGCTTATAAATTGGGACCCAATGTAGACTTCAGGATACCAACCAGGTAATTGTTGTTTGGCTTTAAAATACAGATATTTTGCAATCTTATTATTTAAGGGGTAGAACCTCCCACCAGATCTATATCCCTACCACTTGATCACCTAATTTGAAAGGCTTTTGAAATTCAACGTTTTTTTTTCATAGCCACCAGCAGACCAGACCAATTCTATAGCAGTGATTTCAAGGATTTCCTCTAATCAATGACAGTGCTCAGAATGCCTTAAGATTTGATAATAGTAAGGGATTCACCTGTAGGAAGTTGTTGATGACTCAAAAAGCGACAGGGAGGCAAAGGAAAAAATAACAGGAGGAGAGGGAGGAAGGTTTTTCAAAACATTGATACAAAAGGATCTTTCTGATCACGTAAGGATTGCAGAGATAAGGTAGGATAACAGCTGACTCATTTTGTGGCAAGACTTTTTTGTTTGTTTGGTAAATAACTGATTTATGGTCACTTAATCTATAAAAGTTGAAAATTATTATTTAGCATGTCACTGTCAAGTGGTGATAGGAGCCAGGATTTGGGAATCTAATTGTGTTTGTGCTTTATAGGCTAGACTTGCTGCTGGTGAAGGAGTAGAGACAATACAGCGAGGTAGAGGTGTCTTTGCCAAATTTAGGCAAGTCTGGATTCTGTTCCAGCACCCTACATAATTAAGAATGTCTTAACATAGCAATTAACTGGCAAAACCATTAATGTGGCTACTGTTTCAGCTAGGAATAATTGGAGTGTGAAGTGTTTCTGTCTAACTCCAGCTATCACTGACTACTTCTGCCTGCTGCAGTCCTCCCTGGCTTCTACCTTCATAGGCACTAAGTTAAGCTAGTTTAGAGCTTAAGTGATTGGTTACATTTGACTCATGACTGTTTTCAATCCCAGACATGAATCAAGGCTGCTAGTGTATGAATGTGGATTCAAACACAGACAACAAATGGGATCGTCATTTCACTAAAAGTTGGAGATTCTCAGATTGTCAACTCATGTTTCTTAGCTCAGAAACAAACTGAGGTATCAAAGCAGTAATATTTCATTTTCAAGAAAAGTTAGACTTATTGAGGTAGACGGCTCTAGTGAGATATGTGCTTGATATACACAAGTTATCCACGACCAAACCTATACCAGTTCTGTTGATACACTGTGGCATCTGAGCTGACTCCTGCCACTGGACTTGCTGGGACAGGGAATGGGTTAAAGCTTGAGTCCTGACTGTGCTCTAGTGCATCAGTCTGCTTGCTGCTTCTCTGTCCCTGACCCTGAGCTTGCTGCTCTGTTCCAGAGTTATTTACAGTGTGCCCCTCTCAGTAAGCTGACTCTGGAAGAAGTGAGCTTGGCAGTAAGTAACTGAGGCTAACAGCACAGGAGAGGCACACCTTAGTTGTTTTGAGTAATTTTTTTAAAGACCACACAATCTTTATAATGTGCATGGGTTTTTTTGTGTGCAAATCTGGGATGAGTATAAGCCTGAGTAGCGTTACATGATGCAAGTTATGTAGAAAATGTAAAGAAGGGCTGAGCATCTCTAACGGCATGGGCATATCTCTGGTTTTCCCAGACCCTGGCATCACAGGAGCCCTGAACTCCTGCATTTCCCTCTCTGCCCCTTATTCATACCTAGAGCATTTAACGATAAAATAGATATTTTCCCGGGGTACCAGCAGGCAGGAGCTGCACCCCATGACGTCGGGGAGGGAAGGAGATGACGAGAGGGCAAAGGAGGGAAAGAGGAGGAGATGGGAGAGGAGGAAAAGGGGAGGAGGAGAGAGAAGGGAAGGGCAGGGCAGGACAGGACAGGACAGGACAAGGCAGAGCAGGGCAGGGCAGAGCAGGGCAGGGCAGAGCAGGGCAGGGCAGGACAGGGCAGGACAAGGCAGGACAGGGCAGGGCAGGGCAGGGCAGGGCAGAGCCGCCCGCAACACTGCGGAGCTGTCCGTGCCCGCGGTGCTGAAGCCGCCCTGGCTGTGTCCGGGCGCTCACACGGAGAGTGTCATCCTTCGATCCCTGTCTCCGGCGCTGTGCGCTCCTGCTGAGCCAAGAAATGCGGGAGGCAAAGCTAGAGTGAGTTTGAAAAAATGGCCGGCACGGTTTTCCCGAGCTGGGTGGCTGATATAGCCCAAGTGCTGTAGGAGCACTGGGGAGGGACCCTTAATGAACAGATTGGCAACTGTAAAATAACTTTTAAGACTAACACATGATGATTATGGCAGAGAAGCCCATGTTACAGTGGCGTGTGAATGGGAGGTCAATTGGATGGGCACAGCTCCGTATATTGTTTCAGCCCTTGCTGTAGCAGTAGCCTTGAAAAGCTCACAGAGCTCCCTTAAAATGCTACTGATATGTAGCTTGGTCCTTTTGCTGCTTAGCATACTTGCCAAGGCACAGAAGTACATCATGCAATGAACAGAAACGACTGCACACAAATCTTAACTTTGCTTCTCCCATTATCCAAAGAAATTCCTATTGGCCAGTGTTTCTTCTAGCATAAAATCTACTGAAGAATCAATACAGTGTTCTTTGTGTAATAACTGTGTGTAATAACTTTGTGTGGAACTGCCATTACTCATACCTGTTTCCTCTGGACATGGTGAACCCATTGTTTTTCAGTTTGATCTATGCAAATGTTGTAGGTGTCCACCAGTTAGTAAGCACAAAATTAATGCTGGTTATTTGGAAAATAATTGTGTTTATCTTTAATTGAAAACTTAAAAAATATGTTCATGATACATTCCCATGTGTGGGAAAAGGGCCTGTTTTCCTTATCTATTGGAAGAATTCTTAAACCTTCAACTTCCCAAATGCAACTGTGACATCACAAGGCCCCTACTTGATCATCCATACTGTTAAAATGGCACGGTTTGGGGGCAGACTAATAAGCTCTTTTTAAACAATTCCTGGGCACAGCTTGGTAGCTAGTATAGGTCACAGACCATTCCCAACACACAGGTTGCATATTGTCAACATATTTTGGAAGTAAGCAGGTTTAAACTTTTTCGTGCCATCTGAAGCTGCTTTCTGAGCAGTGTTTATGTTTGAGGTAGTGGTGTACTGCAGGTAACTTTGACAGCTGAGATGAAAAGCACATTATGATAAGAAATTATGAAGCGAAAATTGGAATTTTATAAAACTGTATCATAAGTTTGGAACATTGAGAGAATTTCATAGGCTGACTTTCTGGCCTTTTTTTTTTTTTTTTTTTCCCTTTGGGAACAATGCTTCTCTGTGAAGTAATATTTCGCAAATGCATATGACTGAAGGTCTGGCTTTACTTTGTCCAGCCACCAAAGTTCTTCAGGTGCTTTTCATTTTACATTACAAGTAAGGTATCCTATGCAGCTAAGAAGCTAATTAGCTCATAAAAGAAATAATTAGCTCAGAACTGGATGTTTCTGAAGAATAAAGTTCAGCTGAGAGTAATGAGCCCTAACAAATGACTTCTGGCAAATGACTTAGGACAGAAGCTTTTTAAAAGTGCTGAGCTAAGTTTTACTCTTATTGCTTGTTCAGTGGCTGCCAGGGAGTGCCTGCCAGGTCAGCTGTGGTACCAGGCGGCGTGAGGAGATGCAGACGCAAGTGTCTCCAGATTGAGCAAAGGAATCCCCAACCCACGGTACATGATACTGCATCATCATGAGGTTGGCTAGAACAATTCCTACAGCCACCTCCATTGGGTTGTGCCAACATTTCTAAAACTCTAGAATTTTAGCAAGCAGTAAGTTAACTAAGTGGGCAATGGAGCTCATCTAAGAAATTAACTCTGAAAGAAACAAATTTAATAAAATAAGCAGTTACTTCATAGAACTTACATACGTACATAGTTAACCTTTTAAGGTACTGTTCTGCTCCTGATGAATCCTGAAGTCAATGGGATGGCTCAGGGTTTCCGTCACCTAGCCAGATGACTTTCCTTGGTTATATTGATGCCTTGGTAGATTTAACTTTGAAATCTAAAAGAAATCTTCCTTGTAAGCACTCAAACTACAGGATTAATAACAGTCTTAGGTATTTATGAAAAAGATTAAAAGAAAATAGTAGTGTTTCAGAAGTTCCCCTAGATAAATTACAAATGTTTCAAACTTCCCACCCCCCAGTATTTAAAAAAAAGAGCAAATATTCAAATACCTGCTAAAAAATTGATCTGACTTTGTATACATTTAAAGCAGTTAATAATAGTTTGAGTACACAACGAAAGCAGGACTGGAGTGATTTCTTACAAACTTAGGATACAAAACTAAATTACAAAAAAAAAAAAAAAAAAAAAGTTCTGATATTTTATATCCCTGGCAATTTTAAGCGGATAGGAAAGGGGTCAGGAATGAAGCTGGCCTTTGTGCTTGAAATATTTTTCTATACTAATTCTCCCTTGGCTCATTTACCTGAATCTAAATTTATATTTGCTAAATTCCCCTCCATAAATTAGTGGAATTGGAAACATGTATGTTAAACATAATTTACCAAAATAATTTGATGCTTGTATAGTTACCAGCTGCTCAATAAGATTACAGAGCCCAATACTCTTCACTTTGCAGTGAGATGGAGGAATACAATTGTTTATTTAAATATCACACTAAATTTTCCATGGATTACAAATATTTAATATTTTAAGATGATGTCTTCAGGAGGGGTTTGCCCATATAAAGATTACAGGCTTTGGGAAGAACTGAGTTCTGAGATACACTGAAGCCACGAAAGGATCATTACTGTTGGAGTAACTGAGATGGGAATCTGTCTCCGCTTTGCCTGTAGAATTATAGTCATAAATCTTACACAGTAACAGTCCCCTGCAGAGTACCTTTCAGGTGACGGGTCATGCTTCATTATGTCGAGTCATGTTACTGATACTGAGTCTTTAGTCTGAAGATAGCAATTCTTCTGGTGGATTATTGAAAGGTTTTTAAAATGTAAATAATTATCCATGTTTGTGCAGTGACTTTTTATCTTTAGTGCTCTATATAAATTTCTTATAATTTAACTTTCTCTTATCACTGTCAGAAGCTCTTACACAATTTCTCTTTTTTTGTATATTTCTCGAAAAAGTTAACATATTTCTTTTCTATTTTAATGTTCAAAAAAAAGAAGGAGAGCCCATATAATGTCTTGGAAAGTAAAAAGTCTATAGCTAAATATAGTGCAAAAAATTCATTTGCCAATCTGGTATAAACAATCTTCTAATCAAAAAGTATGTTTACTTACTAGGTTTTTTGTTTCTTTGGTTGTTTTTTGGGTTTTTTTTGATAGTATAGTTATATCAGCTGAGGTGAGATGAAAACGTGTGCGATAGTTTAACCAGTATTGCCATGACAGCAAAACTTATCAGCACAGAGAAAGAATGAAAACCTCTCTACAGAGGGTCTGGGATTAGTATTGCTTCTTTTAGCTGTGGAGCTCTGAGTATCAGATCCCCTGAAGTTCCTGAACTTAATAGAGAAAGTGGAATGTCACACCAAGGCTATCTAAAAATTACCCAGCAATATCACCTTCCGTGTGGTAGTAGTAAAATCAGCTCTTCTGCAGAACAAACAGGGGATTCAGCAACTGAAGAGATAAATGACTCAGCTGAGCTAAGGTTTTAGCAGCAGAGGAGATTGAAATACTTGTTTAAGAGATATTATAGAGAAAGGACACAAAGGGCTGTAAAAGACATGCTGAACTGGATCAGCAGCTTAGTAAGAGTGAATGTGTGTCTGGATAGGGATAGCAAGTATCTTCCTTGAGCAGAAAGAATATATAAGCATGTTGCATAATCTAGAAGCCTAACGCAAGGAGGGACAAGGGACAGTAGGAAACACTGCAAAGTGCTCAGAACAGGGGGAAAGGTACAACGTCCACACATTGACATTTGCATTTGAGATGGCAAGATACAATAAGGTAGATAAAATCGTATCAAACATAACCAGCTGAGACAGACTACTTCATCCACAGTCAACAGAGACACAATTCAGAGCAAATCACAGACAGATTAAAGGTATTGGCAAGGAACGCCCTCTTGAACTTTGTATATCTCCACACCTTATACAATGAACTAATTATCCAGCTAAACATTCCCCTTCCTTATCTACTAGCTTTCAGGTGTATGTAAAGGCTCTAAGGGAAAACGAGAAACACCAGCAGTGTGAGTAGTTAATTCCTAAATTGAAGCCACTGCTGCCGCTGCCAGGCTTGCCCTGTCCTCGCTGAAATCTGCTGAGGCTGTGCCGCTGCCTGCTGGAATAAAGCTGTACTACAGCTTGGGACATTACAAAGTAGGGAGATTGCTTCTGGAAGTACTCTCTCAGTAGTCATCAAGCATACAGAAAAAGAATTAATGTATTCTATTTCCCCCTTTTTTTACCTCTTACTCTAAATTCCGAGGTTCACCAATGCTGTCTAAATAGTTGCTGGGATTGATCTGCCAGTCAAATATCATCTTTATTCAAAATGCCTATTTGTCTGAGAAGTTATTCTAATGAATGCTGGGACAGAATAGCTCTACAGGTCTTAAGAAACTCATTCAAATACAACTTCTTCTTAAATATGGATAGATGGAAAATACTGTATTGGTATCAGCTGGATATGACAGTACAGTTTTATGATCCATGGAATAGGAAAAGGCACATTTCTTAAGCATTCTACTAGATTCAGTGACATATGCCAGATAAAAAATGACATTACTATTTTGCACAGCAACACAGCCAGTGTTTTCAAATTTCACATTACAGGAATTGCAAAGAAAATTAGATGTTTTATGTGTGGCAAATACGTCCCTTCTACTTGTAGTCTTGTGGTTGAATGTCACACAACAATGCATGTTTAGTGTGGGTTCTCACCATGCCTGTATTTGCCAATAAATGATTTTTTGAATGATTTCAGATGAAGAGACAGCTACTACATTAACAAAAGGGTTATTGGTAGGCTGAACAAGAAAATGCATTTGCAAAAGATATTCTTATCAAAATCAAATCAGATCTGCACTGACTATCTACCTGGTCAATTATAAAGTCACACTGTGTTGACTGATTTAATAAGTCTAATAGTGGGAAATAGGATAATTGTAGGATATACTTTCTAAGTCTGAAGTAGGAGTCCATCCATTAAACTTAGAACGTTGCGCAACATTGGAAGAAACCACATTTCTGAATCACTTCCTTTTACATCAGCAACACTAATAACTCGAAAAGACACCCTGTTTTGAGACTCTGAGTGCAGAAGAACATTGATACAAGCATGGTTGAAATGTGGCTTCATAGAGTGATGGTTTCTCTCTACTCTGTGGTGATATGTGAAGCTTTTCAGCACTAATACACAACAAATTTACTGTATTTTTATCCTACACAGTGCTATATATTCCAACGGATTGCCTGACGAATATTCCTTTCTAACTACTTTTCGGATGACTGGGGCCACACTTCAGAAATACTGGACTATTTGGCAGATTCAGGACTTTTCAGGAAAAGAACAAGTTGGAGTGAATCTTAATGGTCAAATGAAAAGTGTTGAGTTTTCTTATAAAGGAGCAGATGGAATACTCCAAACGGCATCATTTTTGCATTTGCCTTTCTTATTTGACTCCCAATGGCACAAGCTTATGATAATTGTGGAGGCAAACAGCGTCACACTCTTTATTGACTGTATTAAAATAGAAACCTTAAGCATAAAACCAAAAGGGAAAATCAGCATTGACGGCTTTGCTTTGCTTGGAAAACTTAAAAATAATCCTCAAATTTCAGTTCCGGTAAGTTCCAAAACCTTTCATTACTGCAAAAAAATGTTTTACATTAAATGGTTTTTTTGTGTGTGTGTGTGTGGAATGCATCTTCAAATGATTTCTGAAAGCAGAAATGGCAGAAGATAACAACTCCTTGGCAGGTAAGTACTGTCTTTGCTCTTTGAATTTTGCACACATATATTTATACTGTGTAAATTAAGAGATTACCCAGATTATGTCTATGTCTCAATAGTAAAAGTTCTCAGAAATCCACACTTCTGTCAATGGATTATACTCTGTCTGGATGAACCAGCTGTGCATTCATGTGTGGAGTCTGATCTAGAAGGAAGTTTAAGGACATGGATTTGTGGGCTGTACCTCACACTAAAAAGAGTAAAACCTTTTTTGAGCAAGAACTGGGACCCCTCTCATATGCATGCACCAACCATCAGCTACAGACAATTAAATGTGCCTGTGGCAGAAAAAATATTTTAAATCATTAATGCAAAGGGATTAGCTCCTGTAAGGGAGATTGATAGGGGTCCTTTTTGAGCCACTCTGAAGGAAATAAGAGACCTATGTTTAAGTCTCAGTCCTAAATCAGAGATTATAATGAGTACCTTGTACTTCAGGAGACTGATGTAATCATTGTCCTTCCTAATATGACTGTGTTAACAGTTGCTTCTAATATTTAAGTAGCTCGAGTTTTTTGAATAAGACTGAGCTGGAGGAGATGGTGAGCTCTTAAAGAAGGTTTTTGTTTATAAATCCTATGAGGGATAAGGGTAGCATCAGACATTAGATCCAACCAAGCAAAGCGCCCAGAATACCATAGACATAATGCCTACCCATTTCCATAGTACCTTCTCTTGGCTAGCTCAGGACATTCCACTCCCATATCATGGCTGCTGTGAATCCTTTTGTTAGATATTTACCTTTCCCTGTGCATTGTGGTAGACACTTAAGCTCAGTCTAACTGTGAAAGTATTTTTGCTGTTCAGCAAAGAAGTGACATGCCTGTAATTTCTGACAGAAAGGCATTTGTGGAATCTGCATTTTGCCTTTCAGACATCCATGAAAGTGTTTTCTCAGCTGGTGTTTTTTCAACTGATGAATTATACTGCACTTTATGCTGAATGATGCGACAAATTTCTCCTACTGTGGCACTAAATGATATTTAGGACTTTGGGAAGGCTATTTCTGGATTCATTTTTAGTCTAGAATAAAATAGTTTCAAAACACAATTGAAAAAAATACACAAAACGTTGCAAAGTTCCATATATTATCCTGTTCCTTCCCCAAGATTCCTTTTACATCGCTAGAGCACTCATTTCAAAACAAGCTGAATGGCAAAAAAGAACCATAATACTTAATAAATTGTAACCATTTTCACATCTCTATACTTAAGTTTTGCAACAACTTTGAAATAACATGAGTGAAGTGAGACATAATTTTAAACTCTATTTCATGCTGTTCGCAAAAAAAACGTGGAACAGGTTAATCAAGACTGTGTAAACCCGAAAGGAAAACTATTGCAGCAAAAGAAGCATCTCATGTCTCATCACCTCTGTGTGTACAATTACTGTACTGCACTGCATTGAAACCAGTTTTACTTGAAGAATGCTGACAGAAAGCTTCCCCAGGCATCTGAAAGGAGCTATTTAGGATGTTGCTATAGATGTGGATTAGGAAATGTTGATAGCTGAAACTCTGCTGAAAACAAAAAGTCAGTCTTTGAAAATATCATTCAAATGTAATCAGCTGGAGCTGATAATGTGCCAATTAGCTGCATTGTGTATCTTAGCTTTGCTAACTGCTCTGTGGGATACTGGTGGATGAATGGATGGTGGGATGATGAAAACATTACATGTATTCTATGCATACTACTAGGATGAAAAAAAAAATCTATGTCAATATTGTTTTCCTCTTTGGAAAGGTATTTAGATTAAGTGCCTAGAAAGCTATATGTATTATTGTAATGGTTTTACAACAGCTAGTATACAATGCTACAGCAAACCAGGCCCTCAAGTTGGACACAGAGTCATTCCTCTAAAAATGAGGAGGATTCCTTTTGCCTGTTGAAAATAATTAGAAATGGCAGCTTACAAATGAAGAGAGAGATGTGGTATTAAGGTCACCTTGGCAAGAACTGGGCTTTTCTTCCTTACTTGTTGGTGCTTTAGTTGACTTCAGGCTGTGATTAAAGACTTCAGGAAAAACAGGAGGGGAATTTTAAATTTGATTCCCTTTCCTCTCCAGCCTGTGTTTGCTTGGAGACTTGCTCTTTCCAGCAAGATATACAAATGAGGAACACTGATTACCCAAAGCTGTTCAGGCATCTGATGGGGGAAGTGTGCCTGGCATTAACTTCTTCTTTGTCTATGTTTAAGAATGTACATAATTAGGCACTTGTGTGAAGCTATGTTAAGTATAGGACAACTTCAAGGGTGAAAGAACAAAATGGAATTAAATAAATTTTACAATTCACCAATTACTGCAGAAAATATTTATTTATACTTTTAGCATGTTTCTGGGAAGATTCAGCCATATGTAGTGTAATTTACGGAAAGAGTGAAATATTTGCCAAAGGTAGGCCTTAAAACAGGAATATGATGCACACTTTTTGACAAAAAGAATAATGAAGTACTGGAACAAATTGTCAGGGAAGAAAGTAAGTGTGACACTGTATCCTTAAACTGAGTCTGGAAGTCTAAAAATATATTCTGTCTGGTATTTCAGATGGCACTGTGGGTTTGACATAGGACTTAGTAGTTTGAATTGCATGGCCTGTGCTGTGAAGCCAGAAATGACAATGGTAGTGGTCCAACCTGGTATTATAAAAATGTAGATTTAGGAAGACCGTACACTTTGAAATGATGATAAAGAAATTACATAATCTGATGGACTAGTAATTTTAAAATGTCTGTTTATACTGCAGATACTGCAATATCTGCACTATATACTGTGCACTTCGTTCTTCTTTAAATTGACTAAATGAATCTGTGTTTGGGGATATTCTAGGCTTATCCTTTAACCTGCTTGACTACAACCAGTTTAAACATCTCAACAGTCTTGGGTATTTAATATGCCCCAGGCACAGTTTCTAATTTACTTCCAGGCCTTGTTAAGCTATATTACTTCCAGCAATATACAGACATAAACTGTGTGTTTCCTATTCTTTTTTTCCAGCATTCTGTGAGTACTCCATTTATCTTGCAGAAAAGGTCAACTTTTTATAGGTCCACTGTAGTACATATAATTTTAAAAGAGATTCTTTATTGCTTATGGTTGCTACAGTTGCCTGGGAGAGCAATAGATATAGGATCTTTACAAAGATCTACTCCAGGATTTCTGGCATATTTTACGGAGGGCAAATTTTTATACAGTTTTATAGATGCCTTTTATCCTTTATTTTTTTGCATAAAAAAGAAAATAGCTCTTTTTATATAAAAGTAATTCAAATAATCCACTATAAACTCTAAGCAATATGAGATACGGCATCATTTCAAAAATGAAAAGGAACTTAAATCACATGTTTTTTATAGGAAGGTAGCGAAATTAATTTCTTACTGCTCAAAGTATAATTGCTGTGAGATGATGTAATTGCCTTAGTTTCTGAGATTTCAGAGGCATTAACATGATTATGTCATAATAGACACTAAACACTTTGCTAGAAGTGACCCTTGGTCATTATTTGATCAACATTTAATGCTGTAACTAGTTAAGGGCAGCTGCATAACTTGTAATGTCTAAGAGGAAACTGTTTATCAATATTTGCTGAATTAATTTACACCACAGAATAGACTGTGTCTGTGAACTGTAAAAGTCACACCACAGGTTTTTTTTTTTCACCTTGTGAAATCTCACATTCATAAGGCTGAACCCTCGCAATGGAAAGTAAAATAATGCCAGAATTGGCTGTACTGTTTGAAGGTTTTGAAAAAAGAGGCAAGCAAAATGAAGCTCTAAAACCTATTATAGAGATGCAGAAAAATGGATAAAACTCATTTAAAATTGCTCTAGAAAGAGAGCATGTTTAAATAGAATGTTTAAATATATGTAGTTTATTCTCAGTCACTTAAGAAATGTACAAAGAGTTGATAGCAGGCCTCTCTTAGAAGAAACATAGAGACCCTTGACAAAAAATTGTAGAAAACTTCTACCTGAAAATTGCTCAGCTGAGTTGTATTTCCCCTGAAGGGACGTCTTCCCCTGAATCATCACCAAGCCAACAATAGCCCAGTGGGGTACAGGGAGCAAGTTCTCCCAAAAGAGACTTAAAACTGTGCTCTGAGAATCATGGTTTCCTTAAAGCCTACGGTACTGCTAAATGCAGCCCTGTGACTAATGCTATACTGAAAATACTACTCTGTATATTTAGGTCTCATTTACATCTTACTTAACCTTCACCTCTCTCATGTAAAGCACTAATAAAACAACTGAATTTCATAGCTGATACCAAGATGTGCAAATCTGTGGGCATTTGCAGGCATTTCCATAGAACTCGAGAGGACAAAACAGTGAACAGACAGACACAGCTGATCTAATTATAGCTGTGCTGACTAAGAAGTTAAGATGAAACAGAAATCCTGTAGGAAACCTGGGAAATATGTCAGCAATATTGACCCAAGGGTCTTAAACATCAGATAGCAACTCCGCCCAACAGAGCCGCTTCCTCCCTCAACCACCCCATGGTGAGGCTGGGGAGAGAATTATCAAAGTGAGAAAACTCATGGGTTGAGATAAAGACAGTGTAATAGGTAAAGCTAAAGCCATGAACACAAGCAAAGCAAAACAAGGAATTAATTCACCGTTCCCATGGGCAGGCAGGTGTTTGGCCATCCCCAGGAAAGCAGGGCTCCACCACTCATAACGATGCCTTGGGAAGACAAACATCATCAAACTGCCTCCCTCTTCCTTCTTCCCCCAGCTTCATATACTGAGCATGATGCCATATGATGTGGGACATCCCTTTGGGTCATCTGTCCCAGCTATGTCCCCTCCTTACTTTTTATTACACCCCTGGCCTTTGGCAGAGTGGGGTGAGGAGTGGAAAAGGCCTTGACCCTGTGTAAGCAGTGCTCAGCAATAATGAGAAAACCATTGTGTTATCAACACTGTTTCAAGCACAAATCCAAAACACAGCCCTATACCAGCTACTGTAAAGAAAACTAACTCTACCCCAGCCAAAATCAGCACAACACCTATGGGTCCTAAAAGATTACATTTTAATAATATTGCTTTACGATTACCCCTGAATTATCTGAGGTTAATTTCTGAGAACTTTATGCCTGTACTTAATCCTTAGTAACATTGTGCATTGTTATCAATAGGGCATCTACATGAGACATTTTCAAAACAGTGGCATTCATTAAATCAGCTTAACATAATTAAAAAAAATCATTGTGAATACTGACAAGGGAAAAGGGACCTTGACAGCAAGGTGAGAACATATTTGCCCTTTTCTCACCTCTCCTAAATCAGTGGGAGGCCAGTCACATCTTGTACTACCTTGCCAACAGAAGGGTTTTGCTTTTCATTTATAAAACATCAGACAGGCATCATAACAGCTCTTGTTTTATATAGCCCCAAGACAGATGGAGTTAACTTTCTTCTTAGCTGATACAGTGCTGTGTTTTGGATTTAGCGTGAGAATAATGTTGACAACACACTCATGTTTTGGTTGTTGCTATGTAGTGCTTATTGTAAGTCGAGGACATTTCAGCATCTCATGCTCTGCCAGTGGGACAATGCACAAGAAGCTGAGAGAGCTCATAGCCAGGAGAGCTGATCTGAACCAGCCAAAGGTAGATTTCCTACTGTAGAACACCATGCTCAGTATATAATCTGCTGGTAGTTGACCAGGAGGGGCCACCCCGCTGCTTGGCAGTGAGTGGGGAGCAACTGTATTGTGCTTTACTGGTCTTTCTTGGGTTTTATTCCTATCTCTTTTTCCTTTTCATTACAGTTTATTTTAAAAAAATAATGGTGCCTGACTAAGCAACTACAAATTAAGAAATGTCAAAGCTGTGTGTTCAAAATATTTAAATTCTCACCTTACGGCACAGTGTTTTGTATATAATGCTAGGTATTTTTTTCTGTATATGATGCCTGCCTTTTATTTATTCAGACTTTTTTGTGTGTCGTAATCTCACAAGAGTACCAGACTTTATTGAACACTCACCACTTGAATCCCATCTTGAATAAAACAAAGGGATTTTTTGGCCATTCAAGAGCACTGGAAGAAAACTTACCACACACTAAAAAGGGTTTCCTAACTCACTGAGTCAAGTTCCCTCTGTAGCAAGCAATTACATCCTACCATCTCTTTAAAAAATCTATCTCTTTTTAATATTATGTTTAAAATTGAAAAACTGTGTTTGAACTTAAAAAATGTATATGCATTTGCTAGTAGTATTCTCATAAGACACAGATATTGGCACTTGGACAATCATGCATCAAAGTCTAGCACAATCGAGTAGTTAGAATTTTACCATCTCTAATCTTTCTCACCTTAGTACAAAAGCCAAAAACTAGTCAGACAGACACACACACCAAAAAGAAAAAAGCAAAAAATAGGACAAAAAAGAGGCAATGATTATCTTCACAAAAAAACCCTTGCAGAATGTGCTGATGCATATATTGGCTGCTGGTGGTATGTCTTAAATAATTTTTTTTTAAAAATTTTTACAGATTTTACACTCTTTTATAAGTTGGAAGCATAACTCCAGACCATTGATTGTCAGCACTATATAAGAATCATGAAGCAAAAGCAGGCTCATTCAGTGGCATGTCCGTCTTTTCCAAAAGCTGCCCTTTCTTTTTTTACCACTTTTCACTCCATTTGCTTCCAAACTTACGGTTTCTGCAGAAAGGGAACCATTTCCACAGCCCTGCTCATTTGCTCTCATGAATGAGGAAGCATTCTAAGGAAAGAAGTATAGAATGACACAATTTCAGATTACATGCAGACTACATTTGTAGAGGCAACCCATGATTATAGGATTTCCTAACTACTGAGTGGATGATTTATAAATTTTAGCATTATTTATTATAACTTTAACTTAATATTAAGCAGTCAAATAGAAAAATTAGGAATTGTCATTTAAAACCATGTATAACTTAATTTAAATAAGAAATAGATTATTAATTTAATAAGAAATTGTTTATAAACTGCTTTAGAGCCAGTTATAGATCTCTTTCCCTCTTCAAGTACGCTTCAGAGGTGAATAATGTAGAGACTCAGGACTTAGAATCCAGCTGTACCTATAAGGTATAATTTGATCCCATTTTGATGCCTTTTTATGAGTCCTTATCCTCAGACTCCATATACCCTCTTATTTTTATTGTTATGTGGCTGCCTTGTAGTATTAAATTAGTATTAGTATATATTCAGTTCTTTTATATGTATACTATGATACTCAATAGGCTATTACTATGAACTAAGAAAGGTTTGAAAATGAGAAGAGGATAAAGGAGGGAGAGAACTGACCCACATATGGTGGTGTCAGATAACAGGTAAAAGAAACAACTGCTTCTGTTGTCCATCTCAGCACTCTGGAAACTGTGATGACTGCCAAGTAAACAGAATGGTAGAGATGAGATAAAGACGATTTCAGGAGTGGTAGCACTGAAGTGATGAAGGTGAAAGCCAAAAAAAAAAAAAAAAAAAAAAGGCAGCAACTTTTCAACTTTTGGACATGTGATGTCTTGCAGAGATCTTAAAGGACGTCAGACTCAGAGCATTTACTAGCTCTAGCAGTCAGTAAGCAATAATGTAAGGACAGTGGCCAGTCTGCTTTCTGCATCATTTATGGGTTGGGATGAAGAGTGCAATGAGATATCCCACAGGGAGCACAGAATTCAGCCAGGAAGCACCAAGACATAATATTGTGAGAGTGACAGTGGGGAGCTACTTTAGCTCGTGGACTAGGAAGAAAGACCTAGAGAGGCAAAGAAATGAGAACTGAAACCCCCTGGACACTCACTTCTACTTTCTGCTTCTCAGAAAAAAAATGGAACCCTCGTATGGAAAAGACTCTGATTTATGTTGTAAAAAGTAAAACCAAAACCAAAACATCTCTTTCTCCCCAACTTCTCAGCCCTCCATAATAAAAAGAAAAGAATAGAAGCCCCAAAATGTTATCCTCAAGCTGAAAAATCTCTGCATAAACCACTCAGTGTTCATAAGCCAGGATGATACTATGTGTGATGTGAAGGGAAAACAACATAAGACTTTAAAACTTAGATACAACAAATAGGCACCATTTAATATGCTTCTGGTACTTAAAATTCTACGTGATGCATTATATATCAATGGATATACTTCCAAAGCTTTATGTTTGAGTGATTCCGTAACTTTTAGCACAGGGTTTGTTTTTTAATCTATATAACACATCAAGTGAATTTCAGTTGCAGCTTCTGAGAAGAGGTTTGCCTTAATCCTGTGTCGTTTTCCAGCAGCAAATACAACTGTTCAAAGAAGATGTGAAATTTTACATAAGTGTATTATTCAACTGCAGTCTGTTGCCAGTGTGCATATAAACTTGCTTTTTGAACTTCTCACACTTGGACCATGTTTCCATCCTTAGACCTACTATTCTTCATGGGCACAAGTATCCACTTAGAGAAAAACTTGGACTTCCAACTCGGAATATTCTGTGATTCTGTGACCATGCAGTGTGACGAAAAATTCCAATGTTTATAGAGAATTTGTAAAAAATTACAAATTCTGTAATAATGAATCTCCCATTCTCCTTAAATCCCTCGGCCGGTTTATGGCCGGTGTTTAAAAGACCTCTGCAGTTAGGGGTCGGGGAATACACTTCTCCGAGCCCAGCTCTCCCGTACACACTTGTAGCTATTGTCATTAAATATCCACCGCTTGAAACTCGCCGTAGTGTGCCAATATTCCTCCCCTTCCACCCTCCGCCAGCGTGACCCTCTGAACCGAATTAACATGATCTTTATCTCCTTTGCCAGTTCGAAATCCAGTGGATGGTGATTCACTGCGACCCCCTGCGGCCCCAGCGCGAAGGCTGCGGAGAGCTGCCTGCCCGGGTGAGAGACTGGTCCTGCCTTGCCCTGTTCTGTCCCGTCCTGTCTTGTCTTGTCTTTCCCTGTCCGCCGCTGCAGCCCACAGGAGCCTCACTTTTTGTCACGCTTCCTGGCCGGAGATGCTCTTTTTTACCATACCTGCCTGGAATTTGGTGCCTTTAGAAATCCACCCACCTTCCCCCAGAGCAGAAGCGGTGTCCTCATTTTAACCCTTCCGTGACTTGCTTCCTCCCCCGCGCCTCACCTGCTGCTTGGCTGGGACAGCTCTGGGCGCTGTGCCTCGCAGGCGGGGGGATTGTCGCGGCCGCCTCCCCGCAGCTGTCCCTGTTCCCGGGGAACCCGCGGGGCACGGCGAGGGTCGATCCCCAAGCGACAGCAGCAGGGCAAAGGGTTAAAGCGCCGCTGGCACTCAGCCCTCCACTTCCCGGCCCCCAGCGTTCCTCCAATCCCCGCGACCCTCCCCCGGGCCGGGCAGCAGCCGGGAGGGGCTGCCGCTGATTCACCTTTCCCCCGCCCCGGCAGCCGCGGGCTGCTCCCTCCAGCCATGGCCCGGGCTCCGCGGCGCATCCTGCCCCTGGGGCTCTTCCTGCAGGCGCTTTGCCTCTGCCTGGCTCAAGTAAGTTCATTCCGACACTGACTCTTGTTCTTCTCCCTTGCAGATAAGCCAGACGGTAATCGAGGTGAGTGGGAGGGAAGGGACGGCGCTCAGGGTTCGGATGCAGAGGGACTGAAGGCCACCCTGCCATACCCTGCTTTCGGCCCGCGGGTTTGTGTGTGTGCTACCTGGTGGGCATCGGGCAGGTGCCTGGTGACATGGCGAGGCTTGAGCTTCACGTAAAACTACCGCTGGACGGATTATTTTTGGGAAGAGTGGTGTGCGGAGGAAAGATGTCCACAGCAGTAGCGCTGAGAGGAGCAAGGGGCCAGGCTCAGAGCCCGGGGCCAGCCTCCTGCTCACAGAGCCCCATTGTGGGGCCGCGGGCAGAGCTCTCTCCAAAGAAAACAGAGCCCCCCATTATAGGCACAGAGACGTGTAAAAGCCTTTCCCTGGGTTTCTACAAGTTGGTGGCGCCTGCCGCCTCCCTTCGGGAGCCTGGCGCTTTGAGAAAGCGACTCTGTAGATGCTAATGTAATCCTCGGGAGCCAGGGGAAGCCGCTGAGCCTCTCACTGAAGTAGGGAAAGGGTTTTTTCTAATTTTTCTTTGCTAGCACGAACTCTCAGGAAGACTATCTCCTTTGTGTAGGCTGAATGAGTAATTAGAGTAGCATAGTGAATTTTGGTGCTTAACTGGCAAAGATCACTTTTATTTCTGTCACGCTGTCATTGCCATGTGGCATTCAGTTCCTGTTTGGTGGGGAGTTGATCCCCCTCGCCTTGCCCTGGTCCTGCCAGCATTGTGGGGCACAGGAGGGTGGCTGGGCCCAGGGAGTGGGGTTTAGCACCTTCCCCGTTCTGGTCCTGAGGGGAGTGTTCCTAGTCATGGCAGTGGCAGCCAAAATGGGATATAGAGCCTATGATATTACATGCAGTGAAGACACAGCTCCTCATCACAGCTTGCCCGTAGCCTCTCATCATGCCAGATCCCCCAGACTGGCTCAGTGGTTTGTCAGGCTCTAATTTCTCTTTTTTTTACTCTTTGTCAGAGAGGCCCCCCTGGTCCACCAGGCCCCCCAGGTCCACCAGGGCCACCAGGAGTTCCCGGTATTGATGGAATTGATGTAAGTGTTCCCCATGCCCTGCCTAGGAAATAGGAAATGCCTCAAGGTGTAACTCTGTCAGCATTTGACCCCAAGGAGGTGGAATTTGGCTGCACATACACATAAGAATTGATGGGTCTCATACTCTGTAGTCAGCTGGAGTGAGGGGAGGAAGTGGCCTTTGAGATTATGTGGAAATTTCAGGATTATTTATTTTATGTAATCATCATCACATGCTGTGATTATCTGTCTTCAATGAGGTGTAGGAGTTTTATAAATCTAATCTCAAAAGGAATTATGTAGAATCACTCATACTATATCATGATAAGGATTTGTAGTGTTATTCCTAATAGAAACTGTTACACGTTTTCTCTTAAGTCCTGCCAGAAGTTTCTGTTGGTCTGTAATAGAGGTCATGTGGATTTAATATTATTTTTCTACAATAAGAATCAGTTCAGAATTATATCTAATAATCTGTAAATTGGTGTTTTTCATGAAGGACCATAAAAGTTTGCTGTAGTTCTGGCTAATACCTTCCTTTTCATATCTTGTTAGGGGGAGAGAGGTCCAAGTGGCCCCCCTGGTCCACCGGTAAGTGATTTCAGCTACTTTGCATTTGCTCCTTTGAGATAAGAGGTTTTGAGTTTTGTTTGTGTTTCTCTCTCTGAAACATGCTAAACTGTTCATTTAAATCCTGAAGGGTCCAGATGGGGATGCAGGCAAACCAGGATCCCCCGGGTTGCCTGGAGAACCAGGAGCTGATGTGAGTATACGTGATTTTCTGGAATTTCCTCTTTATTTTATTTTATTTTTTTTGTTTAAGGAAAAATACTTGAGTTTAGTCTATTTCTGTAGAAGTATGATTTCCTTTTGAGTTCTCTGTCTTCCTCATAGCTGCCACTGACTGCGAGAGGTGCATGTGGTGGGAGAGGAGCTTAGCTCCAAGCCAAAGATGCCCTTTTGGAGGAGCACAGTTGGGCAGCAGCTGAGAAGCAGGACAAAGGCTGGCTGTGCTGCCACTCTGCTCTGCAGAGGGCACTGGGCAGCAGTGCTGTGGTGGGGAAGCATCCTGCCACCTCTGGAAGCTGGCCCTGGTAGCAGGGCAGGGCAGCAAGGGCATGAGGAGGATCTGCTGATGCATCTTCCTGTCCCTGTGGGAAATAATGAAAAAGATCAAAGTTTTAACGTCATCTAGTGTTGATGGCCTGTTAGGTCATATCTCTTGAATAAATTTGTGGCAATAAAAACACTTTCAAACAAAATTGGGAAAGTCTTCATATTTTTCTCTCTTGAGAGCAGTGTTGGAAAGTGTTTCTTGCTATGAAGCAAGATTGTTGCATTAGTACTTAGATCTTATGCCAGGAGGTAGGCAAGCTTATGTTTAATTTACATATGTGGTAGAACGCTTTTAACATTTAAAACATCAAAAATATAGGTTATATACAACAAACTAGCATATTAGAGAGTATTATGAATTATTTAAATGAAAAAACCTAATATCTATTTAAGGTTGCAATGCTGTTAAGAAGTTAAATTCTAATTTGCTTTTGAGGAGAGATTTAGTGGACATGGAGCTGGAACAGTCTTTAATAAACTGTTCAGATTTCAAATCTGTAAGAGGAAATAGGCTTTGTGAATGGGATCTCACACCACTTCATTTTTTCCTGAAAACAATACAGGCCCATAACCCATTTGTACCTGGTTACAAAAATCCATAAGCAGATCTTTAAAAATCATTGCCCCTTATAATAGTCACTTAAGGCATAGTTTTATTTTCCTTGCCAAAATTCATGGGAACAGAATCAAATAAAACAGAACACACTAAACTTAGCTCAGCTTTTGATATTTGTTCACACTTGCATATTCCCTTGTATTAGTAGATGAATGAAAATGTAATGCTAGAATACAGTCTTCTGAAATGTTGAACCTTTTTTATTTTCACTTGAAGACAAAACATGGAACCTTACTGTACTCCCACCATGCATTTAACTTTTAATTGGGGTTTTAGATTTATAATACCTTTTGTATGTAATTGGTGAGGCAGTTCTGACTTTTTAAATCTCGTTTTATTTCATTAATTATTTCAGTGTCAGGTTTAATAGACTGTGAAAAGATACTGTACAGTAATTGCTTGTAATGATCATGTAAGCTTTCAAAAGCAAATTGTCAGAAGAACTGTGTGAACACTGAATTGCTTGAAGTGTACCAAAAAAAGTGGAAGTGTACCAAAATGGAAAAGTATTGGACAAACATAGAAGAAAAACTGATATGGATATCTGGCCGTATGGATATCTAAGCCATATAGGCTGGCTATAAATTTGGAAACAAAAAGAAACAAAAGAACTCTAAATGAATTTGGAGTTACAATACCATGGTTGCTTTTTAATTTTATCCGGATAGACAAGTGTGGTTCAAGGACTAACTTTAATTCTGGCCTGGCAGTTTGTTGATTTTTTTTGTGTGTGTGTTTGTTTGTTGTTGTCAATGAACGGTTTACTTGAAATAGAAAACACAGTTTTTGGTTTTTAAGCTGAGCCATGAACTAAATTCATCAATCTCCCATTGAGAGGAAATAAGTCTGTGTGAGATCACGTTTTATTTAATAATGATTTAACTGAATCATTTTTGAAGACATATCACTGGCGATAATGTTTGTCACCAGAAGCTAGTATTTTGAACCTGTGCAGTTCTATCTGTACGTGTAGATATTTGAGTTGCAAGTCTCCTGCAGTTACTTATTTCATTTAATAGCTTTGTGATTCTATGTTTTAGAATGTTTTCTGTTGCAATTAAAAAACCCACATAACTCTTGCATTAACACTGTATTCACTAATTCCAAAGGGATTCACGGGACCTGATGGCTCACGTGGAGCCCCAGGACCAAAAGGACAGAAGGTAAGAACAAAATTATGCATGAAATTATGGATTTTTTTTTTAAAGCAGGATTTCTGTTTGTCTCTATGCAACTAATAATATGCTGCAGTCTTTCTTACAATATTAAAACGTGTAGGTTACAGGCCCTTTTCACACAGTATAAAGCAGCTTTCATTCCCCCAGTCAGCAGCAAGGAATGGTGATACTACATTAGTAGCATTATGGCTGAACATTTTCAGTAGTAGTGAGGCTCTTTTAGTCTTGTCTTGTAATTATGTCACTGTAATATGCAATGAAACCTGACTTCATCAGCGATTATACAAATGAAGTATAGATCAGTAGTGAGAGTGATCAGAAACCAGCATGTTGGAATTTTGTTGGAGTAGGGGAAACAAAAGCCTTAAGGCTGTATCTTTTTAATACTGAGAAAGTATTTCCTTTGTATCAAGTCTTACTGAAACCAGCATAGCATTAATGAAGTGACTAATACCTGCAGACTATGTCCACTAAATGATACTCCCCAAAAAATAAGAACATTTTCTCGTCTGTTGTTTACAAAACTTTATTGATAATGACTCTTGAAAAACTGATTTTTTTGTCTTTAAAGGGTGAGCCAGGACTGCCAGGTGCTCGTGGACTTCCAGTAAGTAATATGTTCAGTATATGAAGAAGATTTTTACACCTTAAGTATTAATATGCAGGATTCTTACCACTAAATGTAGTAAAGAAAAGTCAAAAACTGTTTCTGAGGTTTCAAAAAACTCATAAGTTATTAACTTGGTACTTTAAGGAACCTTTTTGTCTTTATATTGAAGCGTGCAAATATTATGTTTGGTTTGTATGCTATAGAAAAGAGTGTGTGTGATGTCCCAAGATGTGGACTTATACCATTTTTTTCCATGCCTTTGTGAAAATGCTGTAGAGACAAGAGAGCCCATGTTTCATTTGCATAGTCTACAGTTACTCCTGTTTTCAGCTCCTTGCCATGTGTTTTAATGGGATCACTGGAGTCTAAATGCTATATAAGACTCTCTTGGCCATTCTGAAAACAAGACAAAATATGAGAAAGGACAGACCAAGAGTACTGTTCCAGTTGGCATGCAGATGGGTTTAACATCCATTTTTAGGGGCTGAAAAGAATTGTGAACTTTGGGAATTTTACAGGTTGAAGAAGTGAATGATGAATGGCATGTAGAAACATAGATTAGGAAAAAACCTCAAGGAATATGAGTATTGGAACAAGGTGGCTGGCATAAATTGTAATAGGGCTGCACATAATGTAATTAAAAATTAGATTTGTATTGGATAAATGATTTAGATTAATTAGAAGAGGCATTGTATACCAGTATAACACTCCTTGTATATTTGAATTTTTGACCCTGTCCTATTAACTCTCATTAAATTTATGTTAGAAAATAATTTTAATATTTGGCCAGAGAGAAAATGATAAAGTTATTCTTGAAATTGTTACATTATAGCCATGTTCAAATTTAAGATGAATCACTTTGTGGACATTTTACCTTAATTTTCATGGATGGTGTTTCTTACCTGAAAATCTGGAACATAGGTAATACTTTTATAATGGCTGGTCAACATATAGAACTCAATATACGAGCAAGATTTAGTCACAGAAAACAGCACAACTGAGGTAGCTTCTAAGTAGACTGAAACCTTTACATTTTTCTGTTAAGGGCTTGAGGTTTTCGGTTTTTTTATTCTAATTTTTTTGCTGTCACATAGATGTGGAAATAATTTCTGGGTTGTATGGAATGCATTTTGAAATATGTAGCTATAATAAAGAGGTAGTTTAACTCTGTCAGGTATGTTACAGGAAAAAATTAATAGGGAGATGGAGCACCTCTCCTATGAGGAAAGGCTGAGAGAACTGGGATTGTTAAGCCTTGAAAAGAGAAGGCTTTGGGTTGACCTAATTGCAACCTTCCAGTACCTAAAGAGAGCCTTCAAGAAAGCTGGAGGGGGACTTTTTGCAAGGGCATGTAGTGAGATAGGACAAAGGGGAAATGGCTTTAAACTGAAAGAGAGTAGATTGGGATTAGATATTAGGAGGAAATTCTTTTCTGTGAGGATGGTGAGGCACTGGAACAGGCTGCCCAGAGGAGTTGTGAATGCCCCATCCTTCAAAGTGTTCAAGGCCACGTTGGATGGGGCACTGAGCAGCCTGGTCTAGTGAAAGATGTCCCTGCCCATGGCATTGGAACTAGATGGTCTTTAAGGTCCCTTCCAAACCAAGCCATTCTGTAATTCTATGACAGGAAAAAATGGGGAAATAAAACTGAATTACAGAAAATATTTGGTTGAAATACTGTGGTATTCTAGCCTGTCAACTGGAATAAAAACTGACTTGGGGAAAACATATATGATTTTAGCTCACCATTAACATAGTAACATGGGAATGAATAGTTTAGGAGACTCCAGGAAAAGTGTGTGTATAAAATATGTATGAAGAGGGTTAATTTCAATTTAGAGGAAGAGATGCTACTTTGGGAAAGTAGAAAACTGGACTAACTTGTCAAGATTGAATGCTGGTTCTGTTCAGAGCAGCAGTTCTTTTGTCATGTGATATTTTGAGATTATAAAAGCAATCAATCTGCTGAGATTTTGAACCATTGTTTAAAGTTGAGTGATTTTTTTTTTTTTTTTTTCCCGAGACTCTCAACCTTAAGGCAGTAATCCTTCAATGAACCTTAGTAGGGATTGCTTTTGGAGTTGTCCTACTTCTTCTTAATAAGTAGCTGAAGCTTGTATTTTAGGGTGAATGTGCAGGAATATTTATAATGAGGAAATGAGAATTTTTATTTATTTAAAATAGAAAAAAAATGGATAGACTTAGTCACCTCCTGACTAAGTATTGTCAATAAGTACTAATAAGTAACCTTGTACTTACTTAAGTTAAGATTAATCCTTAGACCTCACATTTTAGGAAGAAGCCTAGTGTTTGATTTTGTAGCCCCGTGGTTGTTAACCCATGCATGCTGAAGCCGTATAGAAAGATTAATGCTCAAAATAAATCTCTTAGGAAAGCCTGTATAATTGCACTTTTCCCTTTGATGAATGGCTGTAAGCTACTGTAGAAATGGCACAGTTATGGAAGATTCTCAAAATGGCCAGCACTAGTCATCTCACCTTTAGTGAGATTAAACCTAATAACAACAACAACAAAACCAAAAAATAAACAAACAAAAATCAAACACAACCCCAAACAAACAATAAAAAAAGCCAAAACAAAAAAACAACCCCTCAAAAAAGGTAGAAGTGGTAGTACTGGAGTGTGATTGTTCTAATTTTCAGATTCAGAGGCTTTTGGAGAAGCTTTTACTACAAACATGAAGTAATGGGGTTGTTTAATGTTTATAAGACTTTCGTTTGATCCGTGAATCCTCATATACTAGAAACATATTGAGCACATTTATGAATCTGCATATTAACTGTGTGATTAGCTGAGTGTTTAGGTGTAATTATGCACTGCTTTGAATTCAGTCAGAGGCCTTTTGCAAATGGAGTAGTCCCTGGATGGTTATCCAAAGACTTCATTTCTCACAAAATCCCCTTGCTTAGGTTGTAAAATGCTCAGTACAAAGAGAAAACCAGAAACCTTGGCTGCATTATTAATTAGTTTTAAATTATCACTGTTTTTCAAGCTCATCCAGTGGAATTTGTCAGCCAAGTTAGGACTTTAGGTTAACTTCTAGAACGAATATTAAGGATGTAATGTTTTATACACAGCATTTGCTTTTCTGCCTCTTGTCACTTTTTCTTCCCCAGAATGTATCCTGGCAATCTTCAGTTACCATCTTTTACTTTCCCTTTCCTTTTTTTTTTTCCCGCTTCATTTCTCAGATAACTGTGTTAAATATTTCACAGAATATTCTGGATTGGAAGGGACTCACAAAGATCATCAAGTCCAACTCTGAAGTGAATGGCCCAAACAGGGATCGAACCCACAACCTTGATTATTTAAATTTATTCTTGGTCTCATCTGTTTGGCAGATAATGTTTCAAGTGACAGGTTTACAAAATTTATAGAATACTTCTGATTAATTCAAGCAATTTTTTTTCAGAAGTAATTTAAGTATGCTGATGTCTCTGATCTGACCCTGGTAAATGGACCTGCTATATTCAGTGCATGTAGTGCACTCTTCAGTCCATTTTCTGTGATAAGTTCCCTCAAACTTTTCTATGAGCTGATATATTTCTAAGTGATTTACGCATCTGGCATATGGGTAGGATTGTGTGTATTTAGTGACCAAGAATTTGAAAATATTTGAAGGTCTACTAAAACATGGCATCCAGCACACGGTACACATACAAATACTGGTGTTAGACTCTTTGTGGTGGATAGCAGAGGTACTTAGCAGACATGCAGTGTCTCTGAGCCAGGTGATTCGTAGGCTTTGGATTACCACCCATGTCCCTGCATTCCATGTGCTCCATGTGCCAGATGAGCACCTCCAAAGCAGGAAGCAAGCATCTAGGAATGTAAGGCTGCAGTCCCAGGTTCTATGGAGAGGCTTTCCCTTCAGGACGCAAAGGCAGGAACATGGGCAGTTGGTTGGGATCATCAACTGCTTTGTGTATGTCCTTACTGACTGGTTGCACTGCAGCTCTCAGCTTTGCAACTGGGTCTACTTCATGGCCAGAAGGGTGGAGTAGGCACATGAGGGGGAGGTATGGGTTGCTGAAGGAGAGTCCCTGCTCCTTGGAGTCCTAATTAGTAAGGTGAGGAGATGCAGTGGAGTGGGCAGAGGAGGGGACAGGCTTCTCCTGGGCCGCTGTGTGGGCTGAACACAATAACTGTAGCTGCTTCTTTTGGTATTGTTGACCTTCTCTGTCACTGTTTAGGGGCATGTTAGGAAGGGGTACTCCAGTGAGAACCTTCAAGTAGTTGGTTTCCTTCTTTCAGAGGCAGGATATGTGATGCAGTGAAAGTTTAATTTGTGTAGTCAAATATAATAGCAAGGGAATTACGTAGGTTGTGCAAGCTTACTTTCTGCTGTGTATTAAATGGTTAAAATGGGATGACTCTGATAAATGCTTGAAATTTTCCCTGTATTGTACCAAGTTTTATAAAGGCATCTTTACAAATACAATCCTGGATTGATATTCATTGGTTTTTAAAGTTGCATTTAGCCCAGGTGCTTTATTATATCAAATCTCCTCAAGATTTAAGTATGTTTAGTACTTTTTATGCTAGTGTTTCATACATATTGTTGATGCTGTTCTCCATAAAATTTTACATTTGCTTTAATAATACAGGACTGAGGGATCAGTTTTCTTAAAGGGAGTGTATCGTCCAAATAGGCAGAAGTATCTTGGATGCTTCTCACTAAAGCGATTCAGAACAATACTGGTGGGAAATGTAAACAGGAGTAGTTTGGTGTTCTTTCTGATTGCCAAAAAGCCCTAGTTTAATGGATTTAGACCTCAGGGAAGCACTGGCGCAAAAAAGTTCTCTGTTATTATCGATTTGAATACATTGTTAGAAGGGAATGATTGTAGCATAGATATGTTCATCGTGGTACTTGATAATTAGCTACATCCAAAGGCTTTAATGCCTTCATTCCTTTGTGGGAGTACATGTGTAATTAAATGCTACTGCAAGGCAACTTAATCAATAATTTAATTTTTCACCTGATATTGGTTATTTAATTAAAAAAAATATATTTAGTATTAGCTGAATAAGTTTTGAAAATGGTTTTGCAGAATCAAACGTCAGGGAGGTTTTATACCTTTTAATCCCAAATACTCTGTTCTTGCCGAAAGTTTGAATAGGTTTGGAATCCTCTCCACATTTCTGACCTTTCTTCATATTTCACAGGGCAAGGGGATTCTTGGGCCACCTGTAAGTATCATTTTTACAATTAATAAATAGATTGTTCTACTGCTTAAATATTCAATAAAGCTGCTATACTGTAATAAAAAGTCAGTGAACATAGAGACTTTTTTTTATCCAGATGTTCTATGTCTATTATGTACATTTTCTTCAGCTACCGTAGCACTGGTCTGTCATATATGGGGCAAGAATACTGGTGTCTGAAGACATAGATTGTTGAGAGAATTATATGTTCTCACTCCTTGGATGCTTGTTACATAGGTAATGTATGATTTAAAAGTACTATTTACTTTGGTTGTTTTAGGGTCCAGCTGGTGCAGCGGGACTTCCCGGGGAAGTAGGCCGTGCTGGTCCACCTGTAAGTAGTAGTATGTTTGCTGAAAATATAGATTTATTCCATTGCTAGAAGTTATTTAAAGAAAAACGGAATAATTACTGGGCCATCTAGACACTGCTTGGGCTATTATGGCACTTTCAAACGTATTTTTTTCTTCATTATCCGGTCAGGGCCACTGACCTACTGACTGGTAGAAGAAAGATTGTGTTTGAAGCTCATCAGAAATAAGGAACAATGAATAGACCAAAAAGAGGACCACCTATTAGATTAGGCTGAAATGATTCATGGAGTGCCCTATACTCTACCTCTTATTCAAGGAAAGCTAAAGTCAAAACCCAAACTTGCCAGAAATACAGGAAGTGTAAAACTTAATATCACATGTAGACCTTTAACTTTACTCCTGTCATCTCACATATACGTTATGGTACATGATCACAAACAATTTCTAATTTTCATTTGCATATCAGTGAGCATGGCAATTCAGCATTTCTTCTTAGTCTCATTTATGTGTAACTCCATCTACTGACCTTACTGCTAAACTGTGCACTCACTTTCATCACACTGTCCCATTTTGACTCCATACTTTACCATTAAAGTGCAAGTTGAAACCAATTGTTTTCTTACTTGAAATCTGAAACAGCATCAAAATTTTGTTTAATAAAGCCTACTTTTTAATACATGTGTTGTGCTCAATCGTATAAATGAATTAAAAAAAGAATATTAAAAACTGCCAGTCAGTTTCAGAAGATGATCCATGTAGCTCTCTGTGTTGTCAGTAGCAAGAGCAAGAGCAGATGCCTATGGAAGTGTACAGACTATCTGAAGAATGGCATTTTTCTGTCATACTGTCACATGTTCTGGCGGTTGGCAGTTCAGAGGCTACCAGAGCCAGAAATTGCATCAGTGGTGCCTTTTTCCAAAGCTGCGTGTGAACCTATCCTCAAATTCAAAGCATTCAAAAAAATAGTTTGCAGAGGTTTTGCATTTTCTTTACCTATGCGAGCACTAGACATCAAAACTTCACAAACAGGAGAAGATTCTAACTTGCTAAATTCATCTTGGGCTCTGAAAAAGGGGATTTTCCCCTCTCTCTGCTTTGGGCATTTTTACCAATTACTAGTATTCTTTTCCTTCAGTACTGAAGTAGCAGTTATAAGACAGAGGAGTGCACAGATGATCCCGTGGTCAGGTGTTTTAGCATTCTAAAGCAGCTGAAAATTTGTTGTTTTTTTTGTGGCTTCTATTTCACAACATAGCTGCCATTCTACTCAAAAAACCACTTTCCCATTCTACTATGGGAGTCATGGTGTAAGTTTTTGTTTTAACTGGCTGCCTAGTCTGTCCTTCTGTAGCCCCTAATTTCTCACTGTTGTTGTACGGTCTGAATATGTAACTACTGGTTGTCATTATTACTATGAATATATAAAATTGTTTTACCCTTTTAAAGGGAGATCCAGGAAAAAGAGGTCCACGAGGGCCACCAGGACCACCAGGTCCTCCGGTAAGTGATTATATTTAACATGTGGTAACATCTGAATTTTGTGTTGTTGCTGCTTGAACAAAATTTCTCCTCAAGTCCTAGAGCTGAATACTGAGTTTAACTATTTCAGCAGGCTTTTGATCCTATATTTAGAAAGTAAGTTTCTAATCTCTATGGCTATAAAAAGATAGTTTGAAATGCAAACTGTAACTTCTGTCGTGACACCTTCCCAGTTCTACAGACTGTAAATGCACAGGTTTTAAACTTCCCGGTAAATACATGCTGTAAATATAGTCTTTGTCAGGCCTCACTCTTATTACTTCAGCAGAGGTAGACTTTTCTCTGTTAAAAGAAGGAAAATTTAATTTTAGCTCATGGGACAAATATATTCTTCTAGGGGGCTTGAGTTCTTATGTCTTTCTTGCAATCAGGCTTGCTACTTACAAAGAACAGAAGAAAGCGTTGCAGCAGTGCTTTGCTGCTCAAGGAGAATAGTTATCTTTTTTTGAACCTCTTGGGAGGAGGGATGTGTGTTTACCGTTTTGTTGTGGCAATTTACCTGCCCAGAGAGATAAAACAGTTTGGCAGACACACTGGAATCTGAGCGCTGTGAAAGACAAACTGCTGGGAAACGTGAGGTTTTTAAAAGCTGTACTGTTCCTCTGCTTAGAACCTCCTCCTCCCCACTCTTTAGGGACAAACCCTAAGTTCATGTGCTTTATCTGTGTCTCTCGTTCCCTCCATCTGTGTTTCTCATTTTCATGAAAGTT